GGGGGGGGGGGGTTTTGCTTTTTTTCTACTCAAATCCTTTTTTATTCTTTGTTTAGTTTGTAGTCAACCAGACAAAAAAAAAAAAATAGGAGAAAAACACCGAAGAGATATAAAATTGAAAAAAAAAAATTTCTAAAGTTGTTGCTTTTTATTCTTGCTTAAATTATTTGCTAAGACAGGCATGGTTTTTTGTGCAAAAAGTAGGAAAACATTTAGGAAGTTTCAACAGACAGAACAAGTGAATGATGACTAAGGAATCAGAATTAACAGGAAGGAAGGGATAATAATTTAAGGTTTATACAATAAATCATTATCACTCTTTTTTTTTCTTCTCTTCTTTTGTTTTCTGCTGCTAAGCAAAAACAAATTTTTTTTGTTTTTTCCTTCTTTGTTCAGCAACATTTCAGCTTCTCTATTTGTTGCTAAAGTGTTCTTATCAAACACATCAATACAGATGTATCCCAATGTACATTTTGTTGAACAAAAGTAGCAGCAGTAGCAGCAAAAAAAGCAGCAATAACAAGAGAATAAAAAACTAATTGAAGCCAATTAAATTGTAGGAAGAAATAGAAAATGAATTCAAATTTAACTGAATGTATCACCCGATGTATCAATCAGTGTTTTTTATCACTTAATACAGATGTGCCCTATACAAAGAAACAGCGCAGACTGATGATACCAGTAGCTGACTAAATAATGGTTGTGTTGATGGAACTGTAGCTGAAAACAGGTGGTTTTCTGAAGTATATATATATTTACCTGTGCTGATGGTGGTATAATTGGATCAATCTTAACAGTAGCCGATAACACCACTTTTGGTGGGGTCATTGATCCGCTGGTTGTCGAGCCTCGAGAAGCAGTGCTGGCCGATCGAGACCATGGACGTTTCTGCAAAAAGGGGAAAAAAAAAACAGAATCAGTTTTGTGCAAAAAAAAAAAAAACATAAATAAAAAAAAATTTTGAAATAGTAAAGCTTAAAAATTTTTGACAATTTTCTTGTCAGATTATTCTTTCTTTTTGTTAAACTACTTAAATGAGATTAGTAGTTATTTTGTGTGAATGTTTTATATATTTGATTTCTTTTTTATTTTTCTTCTTTTTCCTTCCAACAAAACTTCACTTATATAGAGATATTTTTTTTGGCATATTCAGATATTCAAATTGCTATTGTTGTTGCTGTTGTTGTTGTTGTTTTTTCTAATATTATTATTATTATTATTATTTTTTTGCTTCAGATCACAACCAAAAAGGAAACTGAAGTGAAAAAAAAATATTTAATGTTTAATCCTCGCAGCAATAATATGTGCTGCTGCTGTTTTCAAGGTTGATTAACTTTATTCCTGGTGTTTGATAGGAAAAAAAAAAAACCTTTCACTGAACAAGGAAAAAAAAAAGAAAAAAAATTATGGGAACAAAGATGAATGAATAGATTGATGTGAAAAAAAAGTAAAATATAAAACGTTTTTTTTTGCTGTTTTTTTTCCTCTTCTCCTTTCTCGATTCCTTTTTCCTCTTTGTTTTCTCTTTCCCCACTGTTATTCATCATTATAATCAAATTGGTGATAACAAAAAAAAAAAAAAAAATAGTTTTTTCATCCTTTTTTTTTTTACTTCAAATAATTTGTTTCAACTTATCAGTTAATTAAAGTTCAAAAAAAAGAAGAAGAAGAACAAAAGAGACATTTGTTTTCTTCAGTTTTTTTGTTTTGTGTTGCCTTTATTTTTAACAAATAAACTGTAATAAATTAATTGTTGTTTTGTTAAAGCAGCAGCAAAAAAAAGAAAATTTAACAAGACTTAATCAGTATCAGCCAAAAAACTACTAATAGGCTATATTATTCATATGGTTTTCTCTTTGGTTTTCAGTTTTTTTTTTGCAGCTTCTGTTTTTTTTTTGCAGATTGTTAGCCAACAGATTGTTCTTTTTTTTTTAAATCAAACACACAAAACATTGATAATCTCTAACTGTTTTTTTACAATTTACATATTTTGCATCCATCTTTTCCTTTCCAATTTTCTACCAATTTTTTTTCTTTTAACTGTCTATTTTACAGTGAAAGTAAAAAGATCAAAGTAGCCAGAAAAAAAAAAAAAAAGGGAACGGTCAACATTCGGCAACAATAAAAGTAGCAAAATTTTTTTTGTAAAACAAATTAAGACTGCAAAAAAAAAGATCAAAAAAAAAAAA